CAAATACTAATGCATGAAAATCCTAACCTCAAAAAAATCACCCGTTACTTAAAACAGAAATGGGTGTCGGAATCTTTATTATTACCTGAAATAGCATTTTCTGACTTTTACTTTTTAAAAATAATTTCCTTCAAATGTTAGCCGCAGACAAAACATAACAATGACGAGCGATGCCGCACGTTGGTGTGAAATTGAAACCCGTGATGTCGGCAGTATTTGGTTTTCGTAAGTTATGGTGTGACCTCTGGTTCTTTTTCATTGGGGTTTGGTGTTGTGCGTCGATCAGCCAGCTATGATTCAAAACCTGGAAACCAACAATGCTCGCATAATTCGCTGGCTAATTGGATAGGCTAATCGAAAATTGGACCTAACGAATGGACCACCTACCGCGTTGTCGCGGCCTATAATTGAATGTTGATATTTCTAAACGGCAGATGCCACAAATTGCTCTTTCGGGTTATAATACTTAGGCATCTTGAACTATACCTATGGCTATTAAAATGTCAAAATATTGTTTCGGAACCCAATGAAATTTTACTTTAAAGAGAAAAGGGCCTATCCCGACTTAGGCAACTTTAATTGAACGGCACAGATATGTATGATAAATATGTTGCCGAAAATGGCTTGACGGATTTGATTGATTTTATTTCTCGTATTTGTTCGCTATGATAACCAGGTGGTTAAAAAAAAACTTTACAGAGTTGCCAGCAGTCTTAAAATTTCATATTAAGTAAATTGGAAAGATAAGGTGATTAGAGCAAACGAAAGAGGATTAGGAAGGCTTATAACCGAGAATATTTTTTTGGAGGGCTGCCACCTTTATTAAAAATTTTATTTTAATGTATTGATAAGATGAATTAAATATTACAATAAGAATACTAAACTAAAGAGTCTTAAGAAAGTTCACAGTAGCAAAATATTTTTTTGAAAAATTGTAAGTAATTAAATGATAGGCTAATTTAAATATTACAATATGGGTATCAAACGAAAGATATTTAGGTAATCTTTAATTTGGAAATATTGTCAATGGAGTCGCCTCCTATCTACATAATAAATATTATAAATCAAAAAAAATTTTAATTACAATTAACTTTACAATTGTCTACGTTTTGAAAGGTTGCCGGCTATCCAAAAGCCGAACATCAACAAAAAAAAAATGTATGTAAAAATAACATCTTATCAAATACTCGGCGGGCTAAGCTGCACCTTTAAAGTATTTTCGTAATGCCGGCAAAACCAGATGGCAATAATACAAATTTTTAGAGTGCAATATAGAGAAACAAGCATATGTGTACATTGGTATGTGTGTAAACAGTCTGAGCACCACAATGAGAGCAATATAAATATAATGTTTTATGTTTGATTTCTCAGTAACGAAATACATAATTTACTTTTTTTTTTGCGAATACATTCATAAAAAATAGCAATAAGGCCACTAAGTCAAGTATTCATTTTAAGCATTTTATAGCAAAGTGAATCTCGCCAAAAATCCGCCTTTCTTTCATAATAAACCATTTATGGTTAGGCAATTGCTCATGGTAAGCCATAATTAAACTCTGCATGATACCAAATAGCTTGCACCTCGAAAAATGCTATCTCTCGCTCAACAATAACGAGCAGCTATCTAGCTCTCTTGATGTACGAGTACATTCTCTGCCGACAAAGACCAGGCAGAAGCAACTTTTCCATTCAGTTCAAAATTTAACATGGCGTTGAACGGAAGTGTCAAACGACGGTTACGGACGCAACGCAGGAAATTCCGTGATGTTCGAAAAGCGTGGAGCCGATGCAGACACAACAACAAACTGCAGACGCGATGATAGTAAATAAAATTAATTTTTTGCATCAAATAACGGATTATAATGATACGCAGAGTGCGAGAAAGAAAAAAAAATTAAAGAGAAAATGTTAATGGAAGCCTAAGAGCAATGGAATGTGTATTGGTATATAGAAATCTTGTACACAAATACAGTTATAACAATAAAGTGTCTTCATAAATTATTGAATACCGATAAATTAAATGACTGTGTAAAGTAAGCAACAACATGACAACAACAGCATTAAACGAAAGAGAATGAAAATAAAAACATGAAATATGCCAACGAGAAGGCGGGATGGATTACACGTCAAATAAAATACAACAAAAAGGACAAAAGGCGACGAAACAAGAACAACTGCTGAAAAGGCAACGGTAACTACAAGCACTTATGTATATAATAAAATTAAGTAGTAAAAACCATTCTAGGAGATAGCTGGCAAGATGAAATAAAATACCCGACCCTGTTTATGTGTATGAGTACCTATGTAAACATTTAGATACATACATATTTACTATAAATTGAGTAAATAAACATCAAATTAAATGGAAGTATAAATATAACTGAGTGCTGGCGGGCGGGACCGAGTTAGGGCCGTTGTTTGAATGAGAAATTGCTGTATCAGATTCTTACAAGACCTTATCTTATTTGGTTCTAAACCCGTTTGTTGTTTTGGGCAGAGACCAAACAACTTCGCCGATTTTATGCCTCTTTTTTTGTCAAGTTGGGCCAGTTGTTCATCCCGAGTGCAGACAGCTCCTTCTGAACTTACCCTTTCTTTCGTGGTGCCGAGTCGATGGATCTTTTCACTGGACTATGTTTATGTCGTTAAAAATCCCGTAAAGTTCATCATTCTATCAACATTGGTACACGCGAACAGGGCCTTAGATCCTCAATTTTTATTCTTCACCTGATCTCTTCCACTACTTCCAGAGTAGTCTAAAAGCCGATTATGAAAACACTAAAAAGTTTAGATAAGCTGATAATATGCCTGGGCACAACCGTAATAGTTTTGCAAGGATACCAAACTGAGACATCGTCGCGTATAGGCAAAGTGACTTTAAAAGTGGCAAAGACAAGATGTGCGTCAATCTTCTCTCACGAATCTTTTCCAAGATTTGGTGAATGGTAAATAAGTACGTCGTATATGGTGAATTTACCAGGTCTAAGGTCATACTGATAACGCTTTGATCTATTACAAAATACGCTTGTATGATGTATTAGGAATGCTGTTCCAGCGGTGGTTGGCGCATGCGGGAGAATCACAATTATGGTAGATTGGGCAGAGAACTTAAATTCGAGTCGGTAGGCATGCGTTCATTCGAGCACATTCTACATAAGAGTTGAGGTATGCACTTTAGCAACTCCTCGCCACCGTTCTTGAATAGTTCAGCTGGCATGACGTGGGCTTGGAAGTTTCGTTATTTTTCAGCCCGAAAATTTATATTTGTACCTAATCTTAGTTGGTAGGTGGGACATCGATTTCGTCGTCTTCACCTTGCTGCCCGGTTACAACTTCTCTGCTGCTTTCAGTGTCATTTAACAAAGTAAAGTTTTCGCTGTATAGTTTTAGCTCAGTGAGGTATTGAAACACTCCCTAATTCGTGTAATTTTCTGACAAAATTTTCGACTGTTTTTCTTGTTGGCTAGCATTACAAGCTCTGCGAACCTACATACTTCGGATGCTACGTTACACCCAATTAACGTGTTGATTAAGGAACTGGCCATGAATGGAAATGATAACCTATCGCTCCCCGCTAAGAAAATCCAAGCCTGGAAATGTACGATGGATAAATGGCAAAAAAAAAGGTGGGATGCACCCCTCAAATGTCGCTGGACGCACCGGCTAATCCCAAATACATATAGGAAGGTGGATGTCACGTCCCCACGGCGAAGTAAACTTCAACCTCATGCAAATCTTGGCTGGTCATGGTTGCTTTAGAGCTTATCTGAAGCGTTTCAAACTTAACTACTGCGAATCGTGTGGAAAAAGCACAATTGAGGACATGCAGCACGTTTTATTTCACTTCCTGAGATTTGATATAGACAGGAACTAAATCTGCTCTGTGTTTGGTGAAGCTCCTACCCCAGAAAATATTGTGGAGCACGTGATTGAATCCCATGAAAATTGAGCAGCAGTGAAGCTGCGAATCGATAAACAATGCCGGAATCGGCGCAGGCCAACTGGGAGTTTTAGTTCGGGTTTAAGTTCCGCATTATCGGGGACAGGTTTTCGATGTTTTCTTCCTTCAGACGTTCGTCTGCCAGGGTGGATGATCGTAAATGCTTTCCGACGTAGTATCTTTCGAAAAGCTCCACGGATTTCTTGCCTATGAGCATAGCTTAAGTTTCTCTTTTTGGGGAATTCCAAGTAGCACTTTGCTTGGCGAATTCCGAGTAGGCTTCTACAGTATTTTTCCCTCAATGCAGTAATTTCCAGCGTGAGTCCCTCTGTAATAGCACGAGAAGTAGGGTCCAGTGCCATTATACACGATGAAAGACCCTTGGTCCTAACCTAGCTATCAATTTGTGTTACGATTTTCCCATTAACTTAACACACAGACTAATTGCTTCGATTTCCGTCTAAAATATGTTATAGTACTTACCCATAAGAACAGATAACTTAGTCTCGAGTTCAAAGATCCCTGCCACTAGTCCTTCTGGTGCTTTCGAGCTGTTTGTGTAATATTGCAAATGAAGATATTTTGAATATGTATTTAGTCATATTTGTGATCCGATTCGCTTTTGCAATCTCTGTGGGAATGATACAGATATAAATTTTATTTTCACCAATACTTGTGGTAGTTTACTAACGTCAGTATTTTGGTTTACTTTTTTAAAGAACTTAACAGTTATCAAATGAACACATACGTACATTAGGGCGGGTCAATTTTTTTTTGGCTATGCGCGTATAGCATAGGATGTACAATACATGTAATTCTAAGAAAATTTTCGTCTGAAATCAATTTGAAGTTTACCAGACTGCGAAAATAGGTTTCGAAGAAAATGGGAAAATGTTGACTGTGTGCCCCGTGGTGGAAGTCTTAAGAAAATGGTAAGTGCATAAATGAATTCTTCATACCAAAAACCGCTATAGCATGTTTTTATAGAAAATTTTAGCACTTCTTTACGACACTACAGTTAAATGCTGAGAAACCTATTTTCGCAATTTGGCAATCTCCAAATTGGTTTTAGACCCATGCTTTCTTCGGCAAATTTTCTTAGAATTACACGTAGATCCTTCTATGCTATACGCACATAGTCGAAGAAATCTCCCATACAAATACATATCTACGTCTGCATACTCATCGGAGTATCCTGCTGCTCTATGAATGAATTTTATTATTTGTTTTCGGTTATTTGTAGGCATTTGACTACATCAAAAACTATTTCAATTTTATTGCACTCGCTTTTATTATTCATGAAAATTTCATTTCTATGAAAATACATTCCTGAAAGCTTTTATGCGAGAACAAACAAACACTCATACGGAAATACCCCATAGGAAAAGCTGAGGTAGGTGTTTGGTGAAGAACT